GCACTCAAGAGTTGCTTATTAAATCATTAGCTTCTTCTTTTGTATAGGTTTTGAAAAGACAACAGATCTTTACACGACTTTGAGTACTTCCGTTAGAAACTTATTACACTTTAAACCGGAACCCAATACCGGGTGCGCTACTATCGGGTCATAGGCAGTAAATGACATAGGCGAGTTAGCCTTTATCACCACTAGTAAAGAATAGTAAGCTTAGCCCAAAGCCTAAGTCGTAGTCGTCTATCGGGACGTGAACTGTAGCAGTGTGTTTAGCATATTGACGGCTCCGTGGCGCAGTGGCTTAGCAATAAGTCGTTGCGCTGGGGGCTGCGGGTTCGAATCCCGCACGGAACAAGTATTTGTATAGCCTACAAGTAATTGTTCCGGGTCTGGATGTTTGTCCTTGTGAAATTTGTGTTTATAAACTACGATGATACAGGAGAAAATCCTAGTGTCGAGGTAACATTATTTAAACGAAAAAAAAAAGAAATATATTTTAATCGGCTGCCACTGAGGACATTGTAAGACAAGTACGAGTGTTTGAATGCACGTCGAACTCTCTGCCTCATCGCTAATCACTGAATTTCTTCACTAAATATCAATTAAAAAAGTATATTTTTAATAGATGTGACTTCTAGATAGAAACTGCTGTAATTTTGTAAATAAAGACATACTCGAAATATCTGAATAGATGGTTAGTCTACTTTTTTGCCTATGTTCTCCGAGATTGACTTTACACCAAATGTGTGGAAAAATGTAATAGTTACCGCGCAGTGGTGGCATAAGCGAACCCATAACCCTATTTTATCCCGTAGGAGGCAAAGGAAAAGATAAAAAAGAATACGACCTATTACATATGACGGTACAACCATATTAACCGTAATATATTATTTTATTAAATTAATTTTTTACTAGAAAAAATTTACCATTACCAGGATTATCTCATGTACACATATATAAATTGTACATGAACAAACATATAAACTCGTAACTATTATTTGTAGGTCAAACACTAACGTGGTAGAGTAATATTAACGTTGGAGTCTATTGTGGCTGCAACACGATGGGACGGGACTGGGAAACCACGCTCGCACGGGACAGTAGCGTAATAATGCTGCTGTTTTGTATGACGCATTGTGCCATTCTATCTTAATCCAAAAGGGGCCTAAGGGTATTTGCCTCTCGATTCTAAATTATGGAATAGACGTACGTGTTCATGGGCATATTAGGTGGACTATGTGTACTTCGCTTATCACCTTTAGTTATTTAAAACAAAAATTGTCTTGCTGCGTGTAGAATATGAGTCCTTCGCAACTGCGCTACCGACTTGTCTTTAATAATTAATAATAAATTGACTTTAGCATCCCCTGTTTACATACAGGGGAAGGGCATTAAGTATTTATATTTGTAATGATCCCTTTTTTAAATTGAGACACATGTGTGCGTGACAAACACGTATCCTTGTATTATTACTGTCCTGAGTGCAAGTCGTTCAAAATGTATTGCGAATAGGCCGCTACTCCTCACGTTTCCACAAACGCTCTCCACTCAGGTCTTAACTAGACATAAGGAAAGAAGGATCGAACGATATCATATTCACATCTTTTTTTTTAAATTGAAGTGAGAAACTAACTTAGAATCCACCTGAAGTTGACTACTACAGTCCATGGACGCCATTATCTTTAAATAAAAAAAAGTTGTCACCTCTAAGGAATACGGTAGAAAGCCTTACAACCTGTGATTATGACAGCGGAACCAAAAATTGAACAGAGCTCTCAAATATTAGTTAATTTTTATAGGTATCAGCTGTCGATATTGAAGAGCTATTTATATTCCAGGAAAGAGCTATTCGTGTTATTTACAATATTAGACCAAAGGCTCACGACTCACTCAGATACTTTTTAAAGAAATTAAGATCCTGTTACTACACATTTCATTTTGGATAAAACTATTTATTTTAGGAAAGAAAGAAAAAATGCCCATAATTTTAACACGCGTAATAAAAAACTTCGTAAAACTTTCTGGGTAGATGTAAAACTACTTACAACAATAGTCTCTGTGATATTGCCTGATGCCTGTGCATACGAGTATATCGCAAGCTATCAAGGCGTATATAGAAAGTGTTGAAAGGATATTATAAATTATGATAATTATGATAATTTAAAATACAAGAACGCAAGGAAATATTGAGCTTCTTCAGACTTTCTTTTACTTGTGTATATTTTTATATTGTAGAATTCTAACTGTTAGAAGAATATTTATTTACCTACTTGCGAGTTTTTTGCCGCTTCTTCTTACAAGGTCTCCCCTCAGTAGAGACTTGTTGAAGCTTGGATCAATAATAGTAGTACTGTTATTGATCGAAGTGTTGAAGCGATAGCGTAGCTTTTGACTTTCAAAAAGAGCTTGGAAAAGCCAGTTCTGAGTAAAAAAGTTAGATAAAAAAAGATAGATATTATGACTTTGACTTTGAAATAGTATGTTTGTAGAAAATTCCAATTTGAAAACATAATAGAAATAGAAAAGGAGCGGAAAAAAAACAAAAGCCTAACGAAGTTTAATGTGTATAGTATATAGTGGATATACCTATGTTTAAACTTGACATTGTTCTGTAACGTGTGTCTTCGTCCGAACCAGTGCAAAACCAATTTATTTAATTTCCTAATAGAATAATGGTGACAGACGAGCAGACAGTCCTCCACATCCGATGGAAAGTGGATGCGGCGACGCATAGATCTACATCCATCCTCGAATTAGAATCAAAATATAGGTAGATACGTCGTTTTACCTGAGGACTAAAATTGAGTACCTTGTTACTAGAAAATAAAAGTTCGCAGTTGTTGACACTTAGCATAAAAGACACGGTAGCCTCATTTACTTTGGATTCCTAAAAGTTATAATAAGTAAAAATTTAAAATCGCTTTGTAGTAAATGAATAAAGGAAATTGTCTTCTACGTCCGTCGCGGGTGACCTCTATATAAACGTTCAAGTTATTAACACATAAGTTGATACAAGTTTTTAATTACATTTATAGATAATACGAGCTATAACTGGCATGCTTTGTAATGCCTTTTTTGTCATGAGCGTGCGTACAACAACTCACTTTCATCGTAATCGGATGAATAACGAATGGAAAGACGAAGAAACAAGCAAACAAATACTAATTTTTTAACAGAAATCTTCTCGGATGCGGTCACATCAACTCACCACAGCTTCATCGTAATCGGATGAATGATATAGGAGCAAATAGAAGATGGACAAACAAACAAATAAATATTTATTTGTATAGCTATATACCTAGCTGATACTCGGCGAGTTGCAGCCGCAGAAGAAATAATTGTGTAAATATAGTTTTAAATTTTGCGGAGTTATATTATTTAATTAGGAATGAAAAATACATTCATCTTAAAAAAATGTCGATATGATACGCATGCCACTCACTGAAGTTAATTGTACTATATCTATAACCTAACCTTCGCGCAAGAGCAAGTAATAAGTTGACAAAGTTTTACCGCAATCTGGTATAGCAGCGCATGAAATATGAATAAACGAATAGTAATTTTATATTATTAGAATAAGTATTAGGTAGGTAAATATCTTTAGTGCAGAGAAAATCTATCTAAAATCGCTCATGCCCGAGCCCTAGCTACTACTTACGGCTAACTAGCCGAGTGATATCAATTCTATCAAATATAGCAAAATTCTTTGCAAGTCAGGTAACAATTCTATATAACAAGGTCCTGGTAACAAAGCTCTGGTTGAAATGGATTTATTTTCTTGTTGATTACCTTGTATTAAAATGCATACGCTCTCCCACAATTGGAAAGAATTGCCTGGTAATTGTAGTACCAGACGTCATGCACCGTTTATGCTGCTTCCCCTCGCCGGTCTCGCCTTTTACGAGTATATCTAACATATAAGCGATTCTCATACAGAAGTGTGTTTTAGTGTCGGCAAGTGCCACTAGTTTAAAGTTTATCGACCAAATTAACAATATATTAAAGAGGACCAAATTAAGTATCCTTGACCGACGAGTATACGGTAGCTATGGTTGTGGATGTAAAAGAAACGATCGGGATCATGTCAAATGAAAGTCAGTGTCTGCCAACTGTGGTGACAATTAGTATACATGCAAAAAAAAATTTACAAGTGGGAAATCAATTAAAATGTCACATTGTTTAATGGTTGTTTGTAAGTGTTAATGTCCATACTTTCATTTTGTTTGTAATAAATTAATTATTAGATATATATCAATATTACTGACTTCGGATTTATTTTCCACTAAAAGACATAAATTCGTTTAGATCGTAAAAACATTTTTCTTTTAACCATTGTATTAACTTTTTTAAACGTGGTTAATGGTAACTCTTTAAAGTCGTTGGGTATTTTGTTATACACCTTTATAGCATTTACGTAAGAGTTCCTTTCATACAATTTGAGCCTGCATTGAGGTAAGTATAATTTATGTTTATTTCTACGAGCTACATTTCGTTCAGTTACATCTATTTGCCTTTCAAAGTGTTCAGGATGCTGTTTTACAAATATGCATATTTCTTTAATGTACAAACATGTTAATGTTAAGATATTGTACTTTTTAAACAAGGGCTTACAGCTATCCGTATAACCTGCTCCATAGATTGCACGCACACATTTTTTTTGTACTCTAAATACTTTTATTATACCTACTGAATTGCCCCACAATAAAAGACCATTTTATGTACGTTGTATATTTATCTGCGACATGACAATCTCGTATGCCAGCATGCTATATACATCTATATATAATACGCAAGACGAAATTAGATAATGTATTATTTTATGCCCCCGCCACACAGCACACTTTTCGCGATTTTTTTTACCTTTCTAAGCCCATGCTCGACTACAATCGCACCTGATGGCTCCAACTGAACAACCAGCGCTGCCTTTGCCGCATTATAGTGAATTAAAGACAGGTTGCAGGTTTGTCACCCTTATACTATAAAAAATATTGTTGTTGACCAACCTGTGCCTCGCCCAAGCCGAGCTCGATGGCATCGATGCTCTTCCGCACCAGAGCCGCCTTCTCGTGCTCGTGCTCGGTGTTAGCAGCCAGGCCGGCCAGCAGTTGCGCGTGCTCGGCCCTCAGAGCCTCGAGGCCGGCGGCCACGGTCCTCGCGCCCGCTACCATCTCCTCCTGCGTCATCGCCGTCATCCTGCCCAAGGATTCGATCTTCTTTCTGTTGACAAAAGATATATTTTCTTTAGAAACGAACGTAAAAAAAAATAAACACATTATTCTTGTGCAAACAGACTTTCGTGTTCATCCATGACCCATATAAATTATTAAATTGTTCCCCATATAAATTATTAAATTGATCGCGCTGCAACTTTTAATCAAGATTAGGTACTTTGGCTCAATATTTTGGCACAATATTTATTTATTAATGTGTATGATCTTTTAGATTTTATTGGTTTAAAAGTAACGGACCACAATTTTTTAACGATTAAAAAACGTTCAAAAATGCTTAATTTATGCTTTAATAAACTTCAATATAGATAGTATTCAATGAGAATAGAAACACCACACACAATGTATTTAATATACTAGCGAACCGCCTCGGCTCCGCCTGGATAAAATCCACGTAATATGTGGCATTATTTATGTTTAAGATAATTGAAAGACTATTTATTTTATCAATAAAAGGCAGTCACTTCGATGTTAAAGGTATCGACGTAAATTTACTTAAATCGCATATTCAAAACTCGCGCCGTTATTAAATAATCAGTAACATTATAAACAAATTGCGAAAATCTGAAAACTGTAAAGTACCTAAAACGTCAAATTAAAAAGAAAGTTGCGAAAAACTCAATTTTCTTTTCTCACGGATTGTATAAAATAATCACACTGATTATTTTGTAAATAAATTGATGTGCCTAAAGCAAATGATTCAAGGATGTAAACAATCATAACGGCCGACATAATGGAGATAAATTCCTTGCATTGACTCAGACATGGAAATGATGTGACCCGGTTTAAAGCACCCTTTTGTGTCATCGCGTTACAACAATACGCGCTATTAAATGTCGGATTATTGAATGGAACAATGAAGGTTGAAACTAAACAAAAGCAAACTGATGATCTCGTATTATGGAGAAATAACCACTGAACATTCTCGGTAACGGGACAAAAAAATTTTTATCGAAAAAAATATTTTAATGTACAAAAAAAAAATTAGTCACTCGAAAATTTAATACGCGTAAATTGTAATTACTTAGAGTTTTTCTAATTTGATCTATTTTGTAAAATACACTCCAAAATGTTACGCGGATTTACGAACACTAAACGTGCACTTTCACTGGTTTGTATTATATTATATTTGTATTGTATAAGGTCCTCCAGACCGAATTTCGGCCACGGCGGCTAGCCATCGGCGCAGGACATCGTTCATTGTATCATGACTGCCTCGTTGGTCTAGTGGTTGTAGTAGTGCGACTGCTGATCATGAGGTCCGGGGTTCGAATCCCGGGTCGGGCCAAAAAATCAATTATTGAGTTTTTCTGTCAAGAAATTCTCAGTAGCTGCCCGGAGCCAAGAAGTTGGTGGTGTCTCACCCCCGTGCTTCGGAAAACACGTAAAGTCATTGGTCCTGGACAGGATTATAGTGCCCAAGTGTATGCGCAAGCACAGGTGTACTCTCTACTCCCTCACTCTCATAGTCCGACGGGACGGTAAACCATGACCGGAGAGAGATCAGGCGCAGGACCAACGACTTTACGTGCTTTCCGAGGCACGGGGGTGAGACACCACCAACTTCTTGGCTCCGGGCAGCTACTGAGAATTTCTTGACAGAAAAACTCAATAATTGATTTTTTGGCCCGACCCGGGATTCGAACCCCGGACCTCATGATCAGCAATCGCACTACTACAACCACTAGACCAACGAGGCAATCATGATACAATGAATATTATTAAGTATTGTATAAGTAATGATACAATGATTATAGTCTATTGCAATAATATTGATAAATTCCTTTACGACTCCCGTTACAAATTACTCTTATATAACTTCACTGCAGAACATAGATTTCCATCATAAACTGCCATATTTGCCATAGTTGCCACTCTTGGCAGGCGGGTCTGCCACTGCAACTGCAGTTTTTATTTTTATTTTTAGTTGATATTAGGTAGACGCTGCTGCCCCTTTCCCGGTTTGTTTCCCTACGTTACCTCTTAAATCCACGGAAAATATGGGTTAGTGGATATTCTTACAACGAAATGAAATTTTTTCTTAAATTGTACAAATAAGCTAATTAGAGGTTCAAAAAACTCCACTACAGTCTCTTTTCATTAAAAGTAGATCGCAGGTGCACGTCAATCTGACATGGCTTCTATAATCTATCTGTAAGCCATCTGTTTACGTCTTATAGTTATCCCCATTGAAAGCAATAGAAAGTACTTCTATTGTACGAGATTTCTGCCGCTTACAATCAAATGATGGTTATCTTGACATGGTTTCAAAGAAAATTTATCACGGGTAAAAGATGCTAGAAGACGCGAAGTTAAAATAACAAATTTATGTATAAATAGCGGAATAAATATAAATTACCATAAAAAACGCCGATAGTCAAGTATGGACTAAAATAATACAAAGTCCGTTATTCCAGTACTGTTGCAAACATTTATAGCTTAGTTGGAGTTATTAACGGGAACAACAACGTGTTGCTAATAGTATTCTTTCAAGAAAACATAAATGGTTTCATAGAGATTTTAAACACACGTAATGCGAATTAATTTATAAATATGAAATGAAGTTATAGTATCAAACTGATTCAAGAAAATCTTTTATCCTTTTTTTAATTTGGATAAATTTGCGTTGTTTAACCCAAAATTAACAATATATTTTTTAATAAAGATCTATTTTAATTCATCCACGCAAAACACTAAACATAGGTAACATTATCCCACGTCGCTAGTACATAGTATTTAATATACCATATATTATAACCTATCAACCCGCCTCGGGATCGCCTGGTATCTATTTATACCTTGAATCTATTAATGTGTCGTTACTTAGATTCAATATTTTAATTTATTTCGATATATCAGAGACACTTCCGACACTTTTCTGTTGTTACTATTCATAAAGAACTGCTGGAAATATAAAATTAACAATCTTCTTCATCATCAGCCCGTAAAAGACCTCTCCCATTGTAGAGGATCGGAGTGCCAGAAGCTTACCGTCGCCAACTTGAACTGAGTATATTACATTATCATAGTCATAGACAATACCATGAAAACTAATGATAATATATAAAGTAGTAAAATATTGGATTCAAAAGATTTCAACGAGTTCTAACAATGTCTGCTTACATTTCGCAATCCGCTATTGCGTAAAACGGCCCCTACTATTCACAATGCTCGTGGATTTGCATATCAAAGGAGATCTGGGATACATTATTTATATAGCACACGCGTTGGGAATTAAGAAAAAAAGTTGTAATTTTATTATCATCATCGTTACAAGGATACTAGTATACGTAATATTAGATGAAAATTATTTTTAATACTTTTAGATCTTTGAAGTCTGCTTTTAATATTTATTAAGAGTATTTTGGTAACTTTTCGAAGTGGGCTAAGGAATATATAAAAAAAATGGTAGAACCATGCTGCAGTTACATTATGTTTATAGCACGAATGGACCAGTTCGACTGACGTAGGACCACGCTCTCAAGTAAGAAGAGCGTAAACTAACAGCTTAATGGTGCTGTGTGTCGTATGGTGAGTTAGAGAACCGGATACCCTTGTTACTAGCAACGTAACATTCTATCTCAGTCTTCAGGGATGACAACGCATCTGTATTTTGAATCTTAATTAAGATTTTGTATTTTGTTTAAGATTGTAAATGTCTATGGGTCACAACATTAACTCATCGTCAGGTAGATTGTGTGCTCGTTTGTCATCCTTACCACCATCGTAAAAAATCACAAGCTCAAATGTCGTGTAAGTTACATTAAAAACTTAACCCCTATTTTTTACTCTGAGGGCGGAATGTTTTCTACCAATTTATAGGCGACCTTACCGAAGTATAACATATTTATAGTCAACCAAATCTTAGAAATACATTTTGACAGCTGTCAGACTTATTGCACCAAGCATGCCAACCAAAAAATGGGAACACACGATATTCGATACTTAAAAAAAATCATTTACAGTTTGGTTTGAATAATACCAGAATAACTTAAAAACGAATAATTATATAACACAAGATTTATCAGTTTCTTATTTGTTGTAACTGCTTATTTCTAGAAGCACAGTTATAAAAATTTAAGATTGAAACTAATCATTTAGTTTTTCACAATTTAAGATTGAAACTTCATTATTCTTCGGGTTTACCGTAAAAGGTTATTTTTAAATCGTTTGAGTACGCTTGTGCAAAGTTATTGCGATATGATTAATATGACGTCAAAAGCTATTTCTTAGATTTGGTTGACTATAATATAAAAATAATAATTACAATCGTTACAAACATACAGTCGATTGAGAGCCTATTCCTTGAAATTTGCTATGGTACGACAAAACTTCTCCTCTCCTCCTGTAGTTATATATTCTATTATGCTGTCACCATATTTAAGTCACTACAGTAAGTCACTCATAAGCTTATAACTAACCTCTAACGTGCTTCTACATGAAATGTCTTCACCATTTTGATACCAAAGATTAGAAAGCAGTCCAACGCCCACGTCGGTTCACAACTTATAAGTAATTGTTCAAATATGTGTCAAGTCAAGTAACCTCGTAGGGCGTGACTTACGTAACACCTATCGAGTTTCCGCGGCGTCTTAACCAGATTTTCCTGATCGGATCGTGAGCAAGTTCCACACTTCGAAACTAAATACACTATACGTAATCAGCTTAGGGTATTAATTAGCCAATCCGCAGTCGGCTGGAGTTCATTGCTCTGGGTCTCGGCTACGTTGGGGAAAGTTGCACGTGAATCGTGAGCTTAATATTATAAATTACATACTTTTGTATAACATCTAATGAAACATAAAGTTAACGAGTTGATTTTTTATGGAATGAGGTTAACATACGAACACACAGTCCACCTGATAGTAAATGGATGATTTGGCACATGGAAATCTACATCTACCCTAGATTTAGAATCGAAATGTAGATACGTGTCACTCCTAAGGATTAAGATGAAATGCTTCGTTTTCAGTAAAAAGGTACTCCAAT